ATTGGTTGAAAAGGGTTTGCACATAAGTCGTCCTTTGCAAAGATTGTTATTGCCGCAAACTTATTGGCTTAAAATTTTGTGATGGTGTCATGAACGAGCACTTGAGTAATGATACAATGTGATGTTCAGTGACAAGTTCCATTTCTGTTTATGTGATGAGCAGTAGATTCTGGTAGAGATAATTCGCCCACTATTGTTGAACGTCATACTGCTCGTGGCTTAATGATTAAGGGTGCAATCAAACACGATAGCACGTTAATCCTGGTATTCATCAAACACACATTGACGGCATGATAGTACATTGACGAGAGACTGCAGCTTTGTAATACATTACAATCACCGGTTGCCAAATGATGTTTCTAGAAGGTATTTTTCAATGGTGTCCCAAGCAGTGTTTTGCATTGGCGATTGAGATTTCCTCTTAATTTTCACCGATATTGTTCACATATTAAAATTTAATAAAACTGAGAATCTTCGAAATATCGAAAACGATTTTCGTGATTTTTTTTATATCAGAATGTTTATTAAGGATAGGAATTAATACAAAAAAGTGAATTATAGATTCAAGATGATGGACATATTCATCATGAGTAAGCACCACGAATGAAATTAAAAGTATTTAATTTTGTAGTCAGGTTACCATTTAGCTACTTTGAAAGACATAATGGAAAGATCAGCACTCCGCTGTCAATGAAATAAGGGCGGGTTTTTTTGTAAGAAAAAAGGCATTACTTTATTGCTAGAGTATTTAATAGGAGTTATAATTACTTTACTGCTAAAGTATTGAGGACAGGGAAATAAATACTAGGGTTATTTTAACCAGAATATTTCCCCTTTCTCAATAAATAACTCTTAAATAGAAGGATTGTAAATATGCAACGTCAGTGACATACGGGATCATTTTTTTAAATAACAGTAGTATAGTTTTGTCAGAATCAATGAATGTGACAGTTTCAATCCACTTTTTTTTATTGAGTCTATATTTTTTCCTACTGTATATACCTTACCAATCGTCTATTTTATATATTTTTTCTACTGCAAAGCTAGGAATGGATTCAAGGATACATAACATGAGAAACCAAGTCACATTTCATTTTCCTGTCTAACAAAATATAAAATAATTAAATTCCTTGGCAAATTAAACAAATAATTTCAACACCTGATAAAACACTAGTCCATAATAATTTTAATGAATAAATAATTAATAAAGATAAAATTAAATAATAAATAACTAGGATTTAATAAGATTAATTTCTTTCCTGAACTTTTCCAGAAAACATTTTTTTTAGATTTAAATATATTTTAATCGAATAAAACAAAAGCCTTTTCTACATGTATTTATGCATTTTATTTCGATTTGAATCATAATATATACTATGATTAAACTTAATAATTAGATGAATAGAAATTTTATTATAATAACTATTTTAAAAAACTTTAAATACAAGATGAAATTAAAGACGACTTTGATTTTTAAAATAAATCTAAATACAAAAATTCTTCAAAGGTAAATTAATATTTTGAGAATTTAAAAAAAAAATGGATGATTTAATCAATTTCTTTTAATGCTACTTTGAAAAATCTATTTACAAATTAATATTTGCTCTTATAACTAAAATAGAAAATATATTTGTAAATGAGTTCTTTTAATGCTATTTTGTTTTGCAACTTTTATGAATATTTACTAAATATTTCATATTATACTTAATGCTTAAAATATATTTTAAATATTTCACAAAGAGACGTATGTTTAATTTCCTATTTTTTCTGTAACTTATTAAATGAGAAACTTTTGAAAATTAGTTTATGAATATTTCTTTTAAACAAATAATTTTGTTATCTGAAGAAGATTAAAAAGACAAACATTTAAATGAAAATATTTTTCCTCATATTATTTGTTGATAATTACAGAGAATTTTTTTGTAAAATACGCTTTTGAAACAAAGTAATCAATATTCCATGTTGTTTACAAAGAACAAAAAGTTTAAATTTATCAACAAATTAGAAAGCTTTTGTCTCTATTCAGAAGTTTTAGCTTTGAACCTATTTTGAATTTTTCTAATCTAATTTACTTTTTTATGATGTCTAAGAAAGAAGACTAAAAATTAGAAATTATTGATTATCTTTAAAGACAACTTTAAAAGATGTATTTTTACAAATATTTATCTTATTAAAATTGTTTTATTAATTTGATTCGTTCTTGAAATTCTTTAAAAATTGATTTTATATTTGGAAATTATTCATGCTTAATTCGTATGAATAAGTAAATAAAAGGATAGTTCTTTTATAGCAATTATAAATGGGTTTGTTTTTTTTATTTTTTAACATATATTTAAACATACATAGTTTTGAAATTGCACTTATTTTTCACATGAATATGCATCTAAAAATTGCAAAACTTTAAATACTAGGAATTATTTATTTAAACAGTCATTAATAAATTTCACATGATTATCTTTAACATGAAATCTTTTATTTAAGTAGATTTATCAACTATATTGTTGATATCGTCGTAGTGGTATATTGAAAAATTGACTCTTGCTATCGATACATTTAATATTATTAATTGCAGTTAAACATTATTCTGAAAATTAATTATTGAATTTAAGATGAATTCAATTGTCTTAAATATAAAATAAAACTATAATATCGATCCTTTTTTAGCTAACACTTATTTATGAAGGTTTGTTTGATACAATTCTTTTATGTTGTTTATGTTATGCTTTGTATTATTTGGTTATTGCAAAATAAAACTATAATTGAATTAGGTGGGTTATTTTAGTTTTTAATAGTATATTTATGACAAATATTTTGTTTTAATTAATTAACAATACAATAATATTAGTTGTATAATTATTGTTATTCTAATATGTAATACAATATAATTATTTTTAATACTTAAATTTATCATTCAATTTCACGTAAAAATTAGCGAATTTTACCATATACATGGTCAACCCCAAGTTAAATTTACTAGTTTATAAATAAATTTTTTACAGAATAACCGACACATTATTATTATTTTTCTTTTTTTAGAATGAGTTAACAAAGTTAACATTTCTAATTAACACAGATTACGCATATTGAAATCTTATCTCGGTATGTGACTAACTTAGTTAAGTCTTTGACTTTTAATTACTTAATAACATCAGATTTATTTTTTAAATATTTAAAAATATATTTCATTTACTTACTATATTTCATTTACATTCTACTTAATAATATACATACAACTAGAGTAAATATAGAAATTTTATTTTTCAATTGCTGGTTTAATTAATTAAAAATCCTTTGACATATAAAACAAATAATTGTAAGTGTATTCTGCAGCATCTGTCATTTTTTTTCTCAAGGTAAATTTTTAAACTTTTATAAGCCTAAAATTCTTTTTATGCCGTATTTATTAACAAACATATTATTTCTGTATTTATTAACAACTGTATTATTTCTGTATTTATTAACAAATATATTATTTTTGTATTTATTGACAAATATTACATAAAATACTTAACTTTTATTTGGCTTAACCACACTTTTAATCTAATATAAATGTATCGTATTTATTCTCTAAAACCTTTTTGGTTTATTAAGCATATTCTTCATACAAATTTATTATTAATACCTTGTTTGAAAACGTACACTCACAAAAAACACCAAATTCTTTTAACTTTTAATCAAATTTATTGTTTAAAATAAAACTCCTCGGAATATTAACAGAACCAATATTTCCCTAAACTTTGTCACCATAATTTATTCTTCGTGCTGTCTGTGATTCTTGGCGTGTGATACGTGGAGTCACAGTGACTCTTCACAAATTTTTCCCAACCTCCGTGCTACAAGACAGGGTTATGCAAAGTTGTGCCGGTTTCAAGTGTGTACGTTTCAGAGAATCGAGTTTTAGTGCGCAGGGTGGGAGAGCTTCAGGAAATGAAGAGGTTACCTCTTGTTTCTGTGAAGTGATGTTGCACCCACTTCTAGCGACAAGAACATGTGTTTCTATCACACGCCGCTCTTTGCCACCGAGGGGTGGGCAATTTAATAAATTGCATTGCGTGTAGGGTGAATCATTGGATGGGCAATAGTTCTGTCCATGTTAATCAAATATGAAAAGTTGAAAGTAAGCTTTTCGTTTTGCCGTGTTAGTTAAAATCATTAAACTATCAAATAAAAATTATAACAATAATTTGATTAATTTAATTTTTCAGTATTTAAAAGCAATTATTTTCTTTTGTACGAGCTTCTTTTTTCAGCAGTTAAATTCATTTATTTATCTTTAATTTTAGAATCAATTAGTAGAAACATTAGTAACTGCAGTTACTATCAGATAGTAACTACAATTGTTAGTATTGTTTTCTCTGATGTATATAAAGTTAGTGCTACCAAAAAACAAAACATAGTTTGTTGTTTTGTTATGGATAAAGGCCTTTAATTAATAAAATAAAAATTTATTCCTATTTTTCTTTGCATTAATGGTAAATTTCTCATTATCATCAATTACAAATAAATTTATTTTGCATGTTTCTCCTATAACTATTGTGGCATGTTGGCAAATGGCTAGCCCTCTGGAATTTGGTATCCCAAGCTTCAGGTTCGAATGCTGTCGGTGGAATAAATGTTTGTTATTGGTTCGGATTCCGCTTTAAACTGTAGGTCCCGGCCTGTTTAGCCCTCGTGTGCACAAGATGACAGTAGAGCGGCAAACTAAACTTAAAATCTATGTTGTTGTTTGTTGTTTCTTATCCCACTTGGCTGAACAAGCCCACAAGCCCATATGAACTCATGATTGAAGGGGAAGGAAGCAGCATCTGTTGTGATGGAGCACCCGTAGGTAGAAGCCTGACTTTTGCTCCGTGACGCTCTTACAGTCATAGAAGACCGGGACCTACGGCTTAAAGTGGATTCCGAACCACTACAAACATCCATGGCACCGCCGGGATTCGAACCCGAAACCTGTGGCACCGAGCGCTAAACACTCGGCCATTCAGGTCCCAAATTTGCCAACGGCACGCAGTGTCAGGTGGTCACCCACCCAAGTACTGACCGCGCCCAATGATGCTTAACTTCGGTGATCTAACGAGAACCGGTATTAAAATCTATAAATATTATATTGGTTCAAAATTACATGCACCAAATTTATGCTTTCAGTAAAGTTGAAACTGAATTACATAGAAATATCAAGTTAATACATTATTATTTTTTGAAAGTGAACTGAAATATAACTATTTCCATCAGATATAATAGACTTATTTTTGGATAAGACGTACTTGTATTTTATAAGCAGATTTGAAAAACATCATTTGTATAACACAAGAAATTTTTTACTTCCCAATATAAAATTTTTCTCTACTCACAGATTTTTTCCGTTATGCCATTAGTTTTAGAAGTTATTCTATTGGAAAGGATAAGAACATTCCTGCTGCAGCAAAACACATATATTCATGTTGCATAAAAATATGTATTTGCAAACAATATATTTTATTTATTTATACTTAAAGTTCAACAAACTACTTATAATATTCAGTGCTATATTTAGTAATCACTTAATATAATACATAATTTGCAGCATTATATGAGGCTTAGGAAATAGATTGGTTTGGCTTGAAAGTAAGTTCAATTTTTACAATATACTTAAACAGTGAAAAATTAAATTACTTTTTTCTCAACCCAATAAATATATATTTAAGGCTTGTGTATTTGATATACTGTCAATAATTATTGAAGCTTATGTAATTCTAAAAAAATAGTCAACTGTGATGTTTCAGCAAAAACACTCAGTAAACAAAAATGGTGTTTTCGTTTTCGTCCATATAATAATTTAAAAAATATTTTAGATAAATACTACTTTTTTACGAAAATATGTTTAGTATATACTTGATTTATAATATTTAAGGCAGAATTTGCTACAGTATTTTAAATTCCCAGAATTTGAAAAAAAAATTTCTAGATATTTATGTAAAAATAAAATTATAATTCTCAATGTTAAAAATGTTCTTAAGTATCCCAAATTACTTGTAAGTTAAGTTAGGGTAGTTCATTTTTAAACTATATCAATGAACTCAAATGATAAAAAAGTTAATGATAAAAATAAGGCTGTCATAAAATTAAATTATTTTTTCTTACCAAAATAATTTATCTATATAATTAAAAGTAATTCAAATACCCATGAAATGTTAATTTTATAAATTATTTCATTAACTTTAGACAACATATTTTTAATAGCTATTTAACTCATTTAATTTTATAAATAACTATCTTAAAATGATCTGAAATTATTATGAAAGATATATTTATATCATTATCGCAGGCAGTAGTTTACTCTATAAAAGTTTAAATATTTTATCTTATAAAAGGAAATACATTAATTTTAATATGTAATTAAAAATTATTGACAAATTTAAAGAACAACTTATTTATAATAGCATATTTTAATGTGAAAAATTTTAATTACTTAAGAATTTATGTTATTAAAAATAAATATACACATAATAAATGATATACCAAAAAATGTATATTAAGGAAGCAAAAATTAACTTTTGAAAGAATGAAATTTATAAAGTATAAAACTTTAACATAACGGTATAAAAAAAATATATAAACAGTATAAAACTGTATATTTAGATAATATATAATTTCATGAAGGATTAATTATGATATTGCAGCCATCAAAAATATAACACATTATTTGATATTTAAATTGTACAGTGTTGTTTTGTAAACGTATAATTTAAAATTTATAGAATGACAAATCATAAATTTATTAAATTAGTAAGTAACTATCATTCTAATTATTATTAAATTTAATTTAATATATATTTTAGTGTTTTTTATTTGCTAACTTTATATATTTATTATAATGCAATACATAAAGACAATTCAAGAATAATAAAGTAATTAAACATATACAATAAGATATGTTTAATTAGTATGTACCAGCGTGATTTCGAAACATATACATAAAATATTTAAAAAAAAATGTTATTTAACAAATATAGGAACTCAAAATATAAATAATGCTAAACCTGTTTTCAAGAAAAAGACACAAAAGTTACCTGAATCTATTCTATAAAACTTGCGTATGGAATTTTATATATGTGTGATAATCTGACATCACCTTGCTTCAATATATATGATATATAGAAATTTGATTTGAAAATTTTCGATTAAAATAACTTATGAACTTTAAAATCATATTTTTGAAACATTTAAACATCAGTTGTTGAAAGCGTCAAAAGTTTAAATCACAGAACTGATTTACCCAGGAAATTTCAAATAATCTTAATCAGCGTCATTTGAGTATTGTTGATGCAGTGGTATAGTATTGTTGAAAAAGTATTGTTTAAATAGTGATAGTTGAAAGAGAATTGTTGAAATAGTGATAGTTGAAAAAATATTGTTGAAATAGTGATAGTTTAAATATTATTGTTGAAATAGTGATAGTTGAAATAGCATTGTTAAAATAGTGGCCAAATTTTTTTGTAATGGGCCGATTTTTATATTTTATTTATAATTAGTATTATTTGGCTTAGTAAATTTATCTCTGCTTTGCACCATCGAATAACGTTTACTCTATAACTTTTAAATTATTTAACGAGCATACTACACAGAATTTCATTAATAATTGAGATATATGCGACAAAAGTCGCATCCTACATTAAATATGTCATTAGTAGTGGTAGATTCGGATCCCACCCCCTAGCAGGAAGAATTGAGAGCTCTCGGCTTTATCACCATGAACCAAAACAAAAGACTAATTATGGTTGTCTAGCTTTGAAGGGCCCTCAATGTCCAACACAAACCGTCTTACATTCTTTTCCTGACAACCCCCTTCTTATTGTGCCATTCCTTGTAGTCTATTGACAAAGGCAGGGGGAAAACCACACAAATCAATATAGAAATAACAGCGAATATCAAAATTTAACTGCGCCGCTGATTAATTGAATGCGTTGATTAAAAGTGTTTGCCAAAGCTTTAACCCACCATCCCTCTCTCTCCCTATCTCTTGAAACAGGGGAAGTTTTCCCACGTGAACATGTCTAACAATTTAGTTTTGGTATAATCTCTAGTCGGTGGAGTATTCTCTCTGAGAGACCCGAATGTTCGCTTTGTAGATTTAGCATGGGTTGTGGGTTTTGGAACGATTGTGTTAAAGTGCTCCGACGATCTTTAATGATGCAGGTGGTACTTTTTGTCGTTCTAATGATCCAATTTGTTTGATTGTCGAGTGTTATTTTCGATTTGTTGCCTTGAAAAGGTTTGTTTGACTATTATACTTCATTTATTTTTGCGGTGATGATTATACAGTGATATAGTGACTTATATAATGCATATAGTTTTATTTAAAAAATGCCCCATACAGATTAACACGTTCATACACATAGTAAATAGTTAGGTTTAAACATAAAAAACTTATAGATAAACTTAATGAATGTTTGAGAATGTGATATTGACGATAACTGATTGAATTTTGATGAATATACATATAGTTTTATTTAACAAATACCACATGAACATTAGCTGATTTATACATAGTAAATATTCCGCTTTAAAACATAATAAATTTATAGATAAACTTTTCACAAATGTGATATTGATTATAATTAAATGAATCTGAAAGACAAATATTATCCAACGTTATATATTTAATAAAGTACATTACATAAGGACTAGTCCAACATAATAAAGTAATTAAACGTTTACAATGAGATATTGTTGATTAGCATATATTAGAATAATTTAAAGACATAGACTTAAAATTAAAAAAAAAATGTAGTTTAACTATTATAGAAGTCAAACTATAAATTATGCTAAGTCCTTCTTCAAGAAAAAGACACGAAATTCACTATAATGTATTGTAAAAAATTTGGGCATGAAATTTTATGAATGTTCAATAACCTTTCTTCAATATATGCTTTGCTTATAGGAGTTGCTTTCTACAATATATATGTTATATAGAAATTTATTTACAAAATTTTCGCTTAAAATGATTTATGAACTTCTAAAATATATTAATTTTTTTTTTTTTTTAATTTTAATCAGCAATTGTGAGAAGCATCAAAATTTTAGATCACAGGACTGATTTGTCCAGGAAATTCAAAAGAATCTTGATCAGCGTGATTTGAGAATTGTTGATATAATGGTGTAGTATTGTTGAATTAGTGATAGTATAAACAGTATTGCTGAAATAGTATTTAGGAAATAGTTGCCAAAAAAGGCAATTTTTATATTTTATTTATTATTATTATTATTGGGTTTAGTAAATTTTCCTCTGCTTTTTATGACAGAATAATGATTATTCAATACATTTTAAAGGAATTTACTAACATACTAAATAAAATTTAAATAATTCCTCCCACAAAAAGTTTTAATTAGTAATTGAGATATATGTGGCAAAAGTCACATCATACATGAAATATCTTATTAGTAGTGGTAGATTTGGACCCCACCCCCAGCAGGATGAATTGAGAGCTCTCGGCTTTATCGCTATGAACCAAAACAAAAGACTAATTATGCTTTTCTAGCTTTGAAGGGCCCTCCATGTCCAACACAAAACGTCTTACATTCTTTTTTGACAACCCACTTCTTCCTGTGCCATCCCTTGCAGTATATTGGCAAAGGCAGCGGAAAACCACGTAAATCGCTATAGAAATAACAGCGAATATCAAAATTTAACTGCGCCACTGATTAATTGAATGCATTGTTTAAAAGTGTGTGCCAAAGCTTTAACCCACCTTCCCTCTCTCTCCCTATCTCTTGAAACAGGGGAAGTTTTCCCGCGTGAACATGTTTGACAATTCAGTTTTGGTGTAATCTCTAGTCGGTGGAGTATTCTCTCTGAGCGCCCCGAATGTTCGATTTGGAGATTTAGCATGGGTTGTTGGTTTGGGAACAATTGTGTTAAAGAGCACCGACGATCTTTAATGATGCAGGTGGTTTTTTCTCGTTCTAATGATCTGATTGTTTGATTGTCGACTGTTGTTTCGAGTTGTTGCCTAGAAAAGGTTTGTTACGCAATTATAGTTCGTTTATTTTTGCGGTAATGTTTATGCAGTGATATATTGACTTATATAATAGATATAGGTTTATAAACTC